GGGAAATGAACCACGGTGTCTGCAGGGGTCTTTCAAGCTGCAGTTCAAGGTTTCACCAGGAATGTCTGGGCTGGTTTGGGTGGGGCAGGAGGCCGCTCTGCTCAGTGGAGATAATGGGAGGGGAGGAGAAGAGGTTACCTTTATCTAGAAGCCTCCCCTTTCACCAGGGAGGTTGGAGTCCCAGTGTCCTCGAGGCTACTGCCGGCAGCGCGGGCCTAGAACTCCAGCGGAGTTTAGGGCACCGCCTGCCCTCGCCCCCTTCCACGAAGCCGGGACCGCCCACTTTAGACCCAAAGGCCCTTTTTCTGCCAAGTTCCTGGGCACCTGAGAAGACAATTCCTTGGCTTCTGACTTTTGTAGTCAGGACACCATTTTCGTTCAACATTGAGAGGTGGGTGACGCTCAGTGGAGCAGAAACGGAGAGGACAGCCAGCACCAGGAAGATGGGAGGGCTTGGAAAACCGCCTGCTCCAGATTTCCCAGTATGTAGTAAAATGCCGAGCCAGTGCCTGGCCGGTTCTCTCCATCCAGAGTTACTTTGACAAATTCGCTTGGGCCTCTGACTCCTTTTCTGTAAGATGGGAATAAATAACTGAGCAGCAATAGGCACGGTGTTTAGCTCTCAGCAAACTTTCAAATAAATGCCAGCTGCTGTTTCTTAGCCGTTTTTGCCGCCGCTGATGGGCGCTGGTGGGAGGCTGTGGGCGTCCGCGGAGCTCCTGGCGGGTTGCAGGAGCCTCCTGTGGCCGCACGGTGGGGCTGCAGTGTCACCTCCCGGCAGGGAGCAGCTCGCTCTTGCGCTCAGCCGCCGCAACCGCTTTACAGGAAGGAAACCCGCCGCTGGGGTTCCTTTCCGCCTCTTTGTCGCGCCTGGGGCTCCTAGGTGTGCGAGCGACTCGGAAACGCACGCGTCAGGACCCAGGGCTCACAGTCAGGCAGACCGACACCTATTCTCATTTTCCAGCTGTGGACAGAGCCTAGCTTGGCCGTTAAAGAACAGCCTTGCCACTTAATGCCCTTGTGCTGGTCAAGGAGGACCTGGCTCAGACCCTGATGTCCACTCTGGGCTCTAAATCCTACTCCAAACCTTTAAGTCCTCCTGAGTGCTCCTCTCAGGGAGACTGCCAGCTTCATCCCGACCCCTCCCCAGCCTTTCTCTGGTTGGCTTTGATTCTCATTCATCTTTTCATTCAAAACCGAGCCTTTTCTTTATTCGGGGAGCTTGGTAATTTGAAGTTTATTTTTAAAACAATTAGTCTTGAATATTGAAGTTACTCATCTTGATGCCTGATGTCTGGGGCAGATAGTCTCTCTGGCTGCGGTGCCAGCGAAAGGCTCAGAACTTCTGTCTCCCTCTTTGGAGGAATCTTTAGGTTCCAGTCCCATTCCAGAGAATTCCCTGTGTGGCTCAGCTCAGTTCCCCATGGTCCAGTCTCTCTCCCTCTCCCTGGGAGTTTTTCAGTGCTGCATGCCTCCCCAGCTCTCATCACCTGAGAAGCAGTGGCCACTTGGCTGGAGGAAGCATCATGATGCTGCTAAGGATGCTTGACTCCCACCAGCATCCCAGCCAGCGTTCAGACCCCACTTGCTGGGACATTTACCAGAAGTAGAAGATCAACAGACCTCTGAGCACCAGGACAAGAAGGCGTGCACTCACTGTGTGCCTCCAGCCAGAGATCATTGCTGGTCCAGGAGGACCTGACAGACCTGACATCTGAGGCCTGGACAGGAGAGGCTTGCTCAACTCAAATTCAGCTGCCATGCACTCTGATCTTAATTGCAGAGCTTGCTGTCCTCAACAAACTCAAGACAGAAAGCTCAGAATCCCTATTGCTTGGCAGGCAGAGGCAGGAGGGTCTCTGAGCTCAGGAGTTTAGATCAGCCTGGGTAACATAGACCTTAAAACAAGTAGGGTGTGGTGGTGGTCCATGGGTATCTCAACGCTCAGGAGACTGAGGAGGGAGGATCATAAATTCAGGCCAGCATCGGCAATGTAACAGACTGTCTCAGAGTTAACAATTTATAAAGGAAAAAGGTTATTAAACTGTTCTGGGATATAGCTCAGTGGACAGAATGTTTGCCTTCTATACACTCACTGGAGCAGGCAGGATAGCCTGCGTTTGATCCCTAGAACCACACAAACTAGGTATGGTGGCTCATGCCTGTCACCCAAGCAGGATTGAGATAGAAATAGGCAGGGCAGTGGTGGCGCACGCCTTTAATCCAGCACTCAGGAAGCAGAGGCAGGTGGATCTCTGTGAGTTTGAGGCCACTCTGGCCTACAAAGCAAGTTCCAGGACGGACTCCAAATCTACGCAGAGAAACCCTGTCTCGAAACAACCAAAAAAGAGAAAAGAAAAAGAAAAGAAATAAGAAAGAGGAGGATTGGGAGTTCAAGGTCACCCTTAGCTATGTAGTCTTGAGTTCGAGACCAGCTTGAACTACTTGAGATTTGAAAAGGATGTGTGGTATTGAGGTGACTGCAGGTAAAATGCTTACCCAGCAAGCCTGGCCCCCAATCCAATTCCTGGAACCCACATAAAAGGTGAAAGAACACAAGTAACTCCACAAAATTGTTCTTATGCACACACACACACACACACACACACACACACACACACACACAGAGTTTTGCTTAGAGACAGGGTATTTTGGTTGACCTGGATGCATCTAGGAAGAGGGGATCTTAATTGAGAAAATACCACCATTGGATTGGCCTGTATGCCACTATGGGAGGTGTTGCCTTGATTGATGATTGATGTGGGAGGGCCCATCCCCCTGTGGTTAGTGCCATCCTTTGGCAGGGGGTTCTGGGTGGTATAAGAAAACAGGCTGAGCAAGCCTGTCCACAGCATTCCTCCATAGTCTCTCCTTTAGTTTCTGCCTCCTGGTTCCTTCCCCGCTTGAGTTCCTGCCCTGACTTCCCTCAGTAATGGACTGTTTGTTACCTAAAAGTGTAAGATTATATAAACCCTTTTCTCCCCAAGTGCTTTTGGTCATGGTGTTTAATCATAGTACAAAAACACTAAGATACTACAGGGTCTCCTTATGAAGCCCTGGCTGTCCTGGAACTTGCTAGGTAGATGAGGCTGGCCTCGAACTCCCAGAGAACTGCTTGTGTTTGTTTCTGCCTCTGCTGGGACTACAGGTGTGCACCCTCACGCCTGGCTAATGGAACATTCTTTTAAAGTTTAAGAAGGAATGAACAAAGGCGGAATTGCCAGTTTGAGGCCAGCCTAGTCTACATAGCAAGGGCTAGTCCAACCAGGCTACTCTGGGAGACTGAGTGTGCCCGTGTCCATCTGTTCAGCCAGCAGCACTGCCTGGCTCTACTCCAGTCCTGGAAAGCAGCTTTTTCCTTAGTCTCAACCAACGGTGGAGGCCGGCTTCCTTCCAGCTTCTTTGATGTCTCTGCTGGTGTCCTAGGAGTCACAAGGAAGTCACTGGCTGTTGTTTGGTGCAGCCAGAAAAGGTCCCTTTCCCGATATATTCCACTCACCCTCTCTTCCTGCCCAGCTCAGAATTTTTCATATCTGGGAAATTCCTGGGGAGGAGACCCTAATATTCAACCCTTATAGATTGATATCATCATATTACAAATTCTTAACCAAGGGCATTTTCAAAGATATACAGACTTACCAGTAGGAAGGTCAGGATAGCATCTCACAAATCTACTCTTCTTACATCTGTCTTCGAAGCTGGGGGTAGGAGTGGGAGGGTAGGGAATGGGGTGGGGCTTTGAAGCCAGTGCAAGCCAGATCCTGCCTTCCTTTTTTCTTTTTAAAACAGGACCTCACTAAATTGTCGGGATTGGCCTTGAATTTCGGATCCGTCTGTCTCGTCTCCATTTCCAGAGGAGTTAGGATTCCAGGCTTGTGCCTCTAGGCCAGGCTCACCTGTCCTTACCATTAATAACTGAACTGCAAATAGCTTAAATTTGCTGGGGCTCTGTTTGAAACTCCCTTATGTTTCCAGTTTCACCAGTCAATCTATGTGCTTGAGCTCAAATTTCTCGCACCTAGGGCTGTCTGCCCTCAGAGTTAGGAGGTTGCACACTTCCAAAGTGACTATTTTAGCCCCTCTGGGGAGGGGCTGGGAAGGTGGAGTGGTTCAAGATTGATTCAGAGTCCTGAATTATCTCAGCCACAAACTAAAAGCATTAAAGGAAGAAATTACACAAAAGGAAAGGATTTTATTGTCTCGTTAGTCAATATCCTTGGACGAACCAAATGGCACAGTGTGAGACTGTTCACAGTCTAACGAAGCCCGGCAGCCTCAGTCTGTCCTTAGGTCAACAACCCCCTCCTCCAACCCTTCCATTGGCAAGAGATGCCGTAATTTCAGAGACGCTCAACTGGACCTCTGGCTTGGTCCCTCCTGAATGGACCTGGTTAAACCTCTATTCATGGGGAACTGTGTATAGGTTGAGGCAAAACGCAAAATCAAATTGGCGTTCCTAAGCTTTCTGTTTGGGCTTCCTCCTGGGAGCATTTGGGCTGGTCACACATTCCAGGAGGGAGCCACAGCTCAGCTGCAGCTGCAGCTGCCCTGGGCAAGCCTGGGTGGTTACTGCCTCCTGGGTTGGGGAAGGAGAGAGTCTGTGGGGTTTCCTCTAGGGGCCCCCAAGTGACCTCACCCTCACCCCTACACCACTGACTTCATAGTCCAAGACCTTGGCCAAAAGCCCAGGCCATGTGAGGGTCCAGTGAGAGATGAGGTTGGGGGGTAGGTAGGGCTGTATTCCAGACCTATCCCCTCCCCCAGAAGCCAGAAGTAGTGCTGTAAGCCCTGCAATTTAAGAGGTGTGAAAGGCACTAGTGGCTGTGGCATTTGCTCCTTAAAGGGTAAAAACTCCGAGGAAGTAAGGATTTGGTTTTTCCTTCTCTATTTGCTCTTTGGCAATTCCATTAGGGAATCCCAGCGGGTGTGGGATGATACCATGTCTTCCAGCCAGAACGAGAAATCTCAGTGACTCTGTGGAATGGAACTGGTCACGTGTCTCTAATGCAAGCTGCTTTATGTCACATTTAAAGGAAGTTTTAATACTCTTCAAAAATCTACCAAAAGGAGATTACAGCGCAGGAAGTTCCCATCAAACGACCTTACTTCTCAGCGTGGTAAATATTCAGGATACACAAAGTCCGAGGATAGATATCAGAAGTAAGAGATACACAAAAGAAGTCTGCGTAAAAGCTAACAGCAAAAAGATGTCAAGATTGATCTCACCCAAATCTAAGTAACTGTGGTCTAGGTAACCCTCGGGATAAACGCTTCGGATGTCCATCCTTTAACCGGGATGAGTTCATGCCCAGCCGCCTATAGCGTGCACAGTACACCCATGGGGCAGACCCTCGGCTGGCTCTTTGTTGTTCTGTGGGCACTTCGTATGTGTGTCTCCAGCTTCTCCTGACATCTGATGAGCTACTTCTTTGGAGGTGGGACATTTTCTTCAAAGTAGCCCTGGTTGACGACATTCCCTGCAGGAAAGTATCTGGCCACCACAAAGGAGGAGCCGTCACTTGCCGATGCCTTCCCCACGCCTATCTTCTTCGTATTCTTCCACACCATGGCCGTGAAGTGTCCTGTGGGAAGACAAGGGAGGCACAATGAGTGGTCAGCTGAACCCTGAAGAGGATGCTTAGGGACCCTCAAAACCTGCATGCTCTTCTCCAGCTCAGATAATTAGATACTCGCAGATGCTGGTCACGAAGAAGAAACAAAGCACACAGCTGCACATGTCAATCAATCCCACAGACCTCAGCCACCTCAGTACTTTCTCACAGTCTTGCTGAGATCATGACAAAGCACAGTGGTCCCAGTACCTGTGACCTCAGCTTCCGGGCACCAGCCCTCAGTGGCGCCTCCCCCCCCCCCCCGAAACTGAACTTTTTGTGTTTTAGACTTTTTAATTTCATTTTATGTGTATGAATGTTTAGCGTGCTTATATATGGTCACCCAGGAAGTCAGAAGAGAGTGCCAGACCGCCTGGAATCGGGGTTTTGAATGGTTGTGAACCACCATGTGGGCGCTGGGAACTGAATTCTGGCCTCTGCAAGAGCAGCAGATGCTCTCACTCTCCAGACCCTCAGACTGAACTCCTGAAGTTCTCTGTTATTTTCTGATGGTCTTTTTCCCCCCTGTGTCTTACTTGACCTCTCAGGAACATACAGTCCGTGTCCCTTCTTTTCAAAGCTTCCTCCCTCACTGAGTTCCAGGACATCCATCTCTTAGCAGCCCTCCCGTCTCCATCTTGGTCTTACAGCCTCTTCAGCCTCAGTCCAGGCACTCTCTCCTTTTCTCTCTATCCTCTGCCCTTCATGCAGTTTCCTCTTTCCCTGACTTCCAGCTGGATTTCCCCGGTTCAGTCCTCCGCGCTCTGCTCCTGACACAATCACCGCGCACTTCCACTTGGATGACACACAGATGCAGTCTATCCAGATCTCACTCTCGATTTTGGTCCCCCAGACTTGCTCCTCTGCTGACTTCCCATGGGTATCAACAGCATCTTTGTGCTCATAGCTGAGGGATGAGCCTGCATCCATTCCTCTCCTGGATTCCTCACAACCACCTACCGCTAATCCCCAAGGAATGCGACTCTAAAACCTAGCTCAACTATATTCTTCCAAAACCTTGGCTTCATTCGTAGCTTTCTGTCTTGGAATGATGCAACATCTCCTGACTGCTCTTGGCTCCACTTCCAACCTCTTTCATTCATTTGTCACTGTGAGAATGGGAAATCTCACTGCGAATGAACGGGAAAGATAGTTAGATCACCCTGAGACACAAGTCGTATCCATTTAACTTCCTCAAGTCAAAATCTTACACTCCTAGCTGCACCTGGATTGAAAGCTAATACTTTGGCCTGGAGGCTTCCTTCCTTCCTTTCCCTCAGTAAGCTGCTTCCTTTTGAGAAAGCCCTGTAGGAATGAAGCCTTGCTCAAATCAGCCTACGCGCGGATATTTTTCCCCCAGTACTGGGAATTAAACCCAAGACTATAAATGCCAGTAAGCACTCTACCACCGTAGACGTCCAGCCCTTGGGAGCTCTCCTACTGACTAACAGTTTCTCGTCCCTGAGATCTGAATAAATGTCATTTATTTAAATAAGCCTTACTCAATCACCCTTTCATTTGCCAGAACATCTCCCTCTCTATCCCGACCCACACCCTGTCTTTCCCCTTCTCCATTACTACTGGCTCCTTCATCCATGACACCTACATGGCAAAGAACAAGTTTTATTTTTTGTTTTGCAGAGTTGGAGTTTATTAAAGACATTTAAGTTAGGCTCAGACACGAAGGTTGAGTGGAAAAGAGAGGTGCCCAGAAGAAATGAAGGCTTACTCAAGAGTGGGCTTCTCAAAGGGAAAGTCAGAGAAAGGAAGGCAGGCATAGCCAAGCATGGCCATAGCTCTCCATGGGAATCAGTCACAGTTCATTGGCTGTGTCTGGAGAGAGAGGAAACATTATACTCTGAGGGTCAGGAAAGCAGGCTTGGCACTGAAACTGGCAGCAACTGCCAAGGTTTCCTCTTTTTTTTTTTTTTTAAGATAGGGTCTCTGTATCTCAGGGAAGCTTCATATTTAATATGTAGGCAAGAATGATCCCCTCTTGTATTACAGCATGTGGCCACACACCAGCTTCCATACAGTGCTGGGGATTGAACCTAGAACCTCCAGTCTTACACACTCAACTTGTGTGGAGCTGGAGATTGTACCCAGGACCTCCTGTGTTACACATCCAGCTTATGGGGAGCTGGGGATTGAACCCAGGGCCTCAAGCATGCAAGGCAGGCACTCTAGCAACTGAGCTATACTCCTGTCCCACTTGCTGTGGGACAATCTTTGTCTGCTGTAAGTATGTGTTACTCTCATTGGTTAATAAAGAAGCTGACCGGGCAATAGCTGAACAGGATAAGGGAAGGCAGAAGGGCCAAACTGAGAATGCTGGGAACAGAAAGGGCAGCTGGGAGTCGAGAGCAGACGGAGAGAAGCAAGATAGTAAGATGGACACGCAGAAAAGGTACCAAGTCATGTGGCAAAGCATAGATAAGAAATATGGGTTCATTTAAATGTAAGTGTTAACTAGTAACAAGCTTAAGCTATTGGGTGAGCATTTATAATTAATATTGAGCCTCCATGTGGTTATTTGGGAACTGGCAGGCAGAAAAGTCTGCCTACCCACTGATTTCTATTCTTACTTATTCCTTGGCCTTCACTGGCTTTGACGTCAAAGATTGGGGCTGTTTTCCTATCACTGTGCCTAGTTCATGCTTAATATATATAAAAAATTTGTCATCAGGCCTAGTGGCACACCTTTAATGCCAGCACTCAGGAGGCAGAGGAAGGTGGATCTCTGAGTTTGAGGCTAGCCTGATCTACAGAGTAAGTTCCAGGATAGCCAAGGCTACGCAGAGAAACCCTGTTTTGAAAAACAAAAGCAAAAAAAAATATTTCATTTATCTGTGTGTGCATGTGTGTGCGCATGTGTGTGTATGTGTGCGAGTGTGTGTGCGTGTGTGCGTGCGTGTGTGTATGTGTGTGAGTGTGTGTGTGCATGTGCATATGTGCATGTGTGTTTACATGTGTGCGTGCGTGTGTGTGTATGTGTATGAGTGTGTGTGCGTGTGTGCGCATGTGTGTACGTGCATGTGTGTTTACATGTGTGTGTGTGCGCATGTGGGTGTATGTGTGCGTGTGTGCGTGCGTGTGTGTGCGTGAGTGTGTGCGTGCGTGTTGGGGGGCACAAGCATGCCTCAGAGCACACGTGAAGGAAGTCAAAGAACGCCTCTAGGAGTTAGTTCTCTCCTACCTAAACTCAGGCTGGCATCTAAACCCAGGCATCTCACAGGCCCATAATTTTTAAATTTTGAAACTTCAGCACTTGGGGCATAGGCAGGAAGATTGTGAGCTCCAGGTCATTCTGGAGTACCTGGTAAATTCAAACTTCCTTAAGCCATACAAAGAAATCCTATCTCAAAGATTTTTTTTTTTTAAAGCAAAAGAAAAGTTGCCTAGGTCAGATCTTTACTTATCTTTAAATTTGTGTTATTTGTATTGCCCTCCGCTCTAGAAAGTCTGTTCTTCAGCTCTGAGGAGAGCGCCCCTTCTGTCCTGGCCACCCTTGGTTGTTACCGTGGTTAACAGCTCCAGGCACTGGGCAGCCCTGCCAGGCAGTCCTGCTTCTCTGGCTGCCTCTTAGCCAGGGCTCAAGCCCTTTCTCCCACAGGCTACTCTAACGTGACCACTGGCTTTGGCCATCGACCATCTTTCTCACTGTTTCCCAGAGAAGGAAACTTCCATCATCCACTGGTTGCCAAGCAACTAGCAGGACAGAAAGTGTGCATCAGTGGCTAGATGCCCGTGGCAGCTTCTTCTTAAGGGAGGACACTGAGCAATCTTCTCTGTGGAGATTTCCGTTGGCACAGACAATCCCATTATGGTATTTACAGACGAATTAAGAGACACAACTTCCTTAGCAACATCAGATACATACTGGTTTCTAACGCTAAGGGCCAGCAACAGTTCCTTTTTCTTTTCTTCTTTGTCTCCACCCCTTAAAGGGATCACATCCTCTTTCCAGCTGAGGACCGAAACTTCCTAGAATATGCCTTTGAAAAACCACACTGAACCTATTACAGCATACCCTTGCAAAGAAACAATGTACGAAGGCAAGAAGAAATGAGACGACCGTTTCACTGCTCTGACAGTGCAAAAAAGGATACACACACACAACTCAGGAAAACTTGCACAAGAAACCAGAAACTTAGATGGCATTCAGATGCTATGCCAGGTCAGATCGATTAGTCCTCATTTAGAATAAACAAATCTACTCACTTAACCAGGACAGAACAAAGTAACTAAGAATGTTTTTTCAATGCAGCACATAGCAGGGACCAGTGAGTAGGTGTGTTATCAGGGAAGGCTGCTGGGGGGAGGGGCTGTCAGTCCAAGCAGACTGCAAGGTATCTCACAGGCCTTTCACCTATATGAACTCAGGTCAGGGAATCCCAAAACACAAGCAGGGAGAAGCCAGGAACTGAGAGATTCTGGCAGGATTGACCTGACAAGCCTCAAGGTTCCGGAAGCCTCAGTTCTATAACACCGAGCAATGCCCTACCTGCGGCTCCAGTGTCATTTGTCCCCAGTATTGCACAGGCACCGACTCTTGGTGTAGAGGCCATGGAAGAGGCACCAGGTAAGACCAGAAGACTTGAGGAGACCTCTTTGTAGGTCTCAGTCTTCTCCTGGGCTAAATGGGCAGAAAAGGCCCCGCTTTCTGCCGCCTTGGAGGCTGGCGCGGCTGTGGATGCAATCACTTAGTAAGCATCAAGCAGCAGCACACGCAGCTCCAAGATCCAGCATGTGTCTGGTTGCTCAAGAACCTCACTCGTGGGGAAAGCAAGCAAGGAAATAAAGTATCTGGACACTATCTGTATCCTTAACACTGCTCCCTCCTCCTCATTCAGTGACAGGGTCATTGTTATCTGAAGCTCTGGCAGCTGCTTCCTGCTGCTTCCTGCTGCTCAGCCTGGCAACTTTGGAAGGGGGGTGCCAACTGAACAAGAAACTGTCCCAGGTCTGCACCTAGAGTTGCAAGAACCCTTCCTGGACAGGGTGAGCAGTAAGCCACAGGAAACAGTGAGAACATGTCATTTCCTGCTTCTGAAGAAACTCTCCAGGGGATGGGAGGCCCCAAGTGGCTCTACCCTTATGTAGGTGGGATGGTAGGGTTGGGGTGGGGAGGGAACCCCTCCCCCTTTCAGTTTCTCTGGTGCTTTGAATCATATACACATTCTTCTTACCCTGTCTGGGGGCCCAAGAAGGGTCTGAGTCACTTTTTAGGAAAAGTGGGGAGGCGGGGGTGGGGCAGTGAGGCCTGCAAATGAGGCAGAAGGACCTCAGAAACCAGAAGAGCTGCCCAGACGTTAATAAGATAAATGTTTACTGCTCAAGGCTGGGGAAATGGCCCATCCTAAGCACTGGCTCAAAAAGCTTGCCTAGTGTGGGGGTGGGAGCTCATTGGCTGGGCAGTCAACTTGCTGAGCTCAAATTCAGTGAGAAACCCTATCTCAAAAGCTAAGGTGGAGAGCAACCAAGAGGAAGACCTTAGACAGCAACCTTTTCACACACATTTACATCTTACACACTTACGCGCACACACACGTATCTGCAAACACACACACACACACACACACACACACACACACACACACACGTTTACTGCTCACCCTAAAAAAAGGCTATAACAAAGGTGGTCTCCTCCGGTTCTGCATCACCAATTCCCAGAAGCGCTTGGGAGACCACCACCAGAACTGACTCAAGTTCACACCACAAATGGCAGAGCTAGGAAGAGCCGAGCTTTCCTGAATCTTGGAATGCAAGAGGAAGGGAAACCCCCTAGTACCATGAGGTGTGGAGAACAGGCAGGAAGAGGAGGGAGGTGTGAAGGAGGAAAGGTGAAGAGTGGCCTGACCCTTTCCTGACTGCCTCCAGGGAGCCACAGCAGTGCAACCAGAGCAGCTGAGGCGGAAGAAACACCAGAGGCAGGATAACCAGTCAGTCAGATGTTCTCAGATACTAGTTCAAGAAAGAAGCAGCCAGCTCAAATCCAGACTCCAGAGAACATGCTGCAGTGAGGAGAACACGCTGCAGTGAGGGGAACACGCTGCAGTGAGGGGAACACGCTGCAGTGAGGGGAACACGCTGCAGTGAGAGGAACACACTGCAGTGAGAGGAACACGCTGCAGTGAGAGGAACACGCTGCAGTGAGGGGAACGTGCTGCAGTGAGGAGAACACGCTGCAGTGAGGAGAACACACTACAGTGAGGGGAACATGCTGCACTGAGAGGAACACACTGCAGTGAGAGGAACACACTGCATTGAGAGGAACACGCTGCAGTGAGAGGAACACGCTGCAGTGAGAGGAACACGCTGCAGTGAGAGGAACACACTGCAGTGAGGGGAACACACTACAGTGAGGGGAACATGCTGCAGTGAGAGGAACACACTGCAGTGAGGGGAACATGCTGCAGTGAGAGGAACACACTGCAGTGAGGGGAACATGCTGCAGTGAGGGGAACACACTACAGTGAGGGGAACATGCTGCAGTGAGAGGAACACACTACAGTGAGGGGAACACACTACAGTGAGAGGAACACACTGCAGTGAGAGGAACACACTGCAGTGAGGGGAACACACTACAGTGAGAGGAACACACTGCAGTGAGAGGAACACACTGCAGTGAGAGGAACACACTGCACTGAGAGGAACACACTGCAGTGAGGGGAACACACTGAACTTTGAGCTGACTGGGAATGTAATGGAGGGGGCAGGATCAGTATCCTGGGTACCCCCAGATGAAGAAAGGGTAAGGTGTGGGATGATGGTGGGGTGGGGTGAGGTGGACAGGTGTTGGGGAAAGGAAGCTTTGGTTTCTGGCAGCTCAGCTGGAGAAACATGACTGAGCCAATGCAGGAGGGAAAGAGCGAACCTTCTGAAGACACCGGTCAGCCCAGGCGCCATTGCCACTTACCGGTCCCTGAGGTGAAGCCAGGCTGCTGGAAGTTGTAGTTCTTGATTTCACTGTACCACCGATCAGCCACTTCCTTTCCTGGACAGAAAAGGCACACGTGAACTAAGTCATGGAGTCTAAGCCATCTTCTCCCACAGACCCCAAACCACCCGGAGTCCACGCCCGGATGTCTGACGGCAGGCTGATGAAGTAATGCATGAGGGTTACTCCCGCAGACTCCTGGGGACTCGTGATGAAGACAGAACCTTCATTGGGATGAGCACTGGCCCGGAGTTAAGCCACGGTCCCCAGATAAGGAAGCCTACATCCTGCCACTGATGCGCTGTGGCATTCTAGGCAAGGCCTTTTCTGTTCTGGGCCTCTACAATAAAAAGGTTGAACCTAGCACATCCTGAGGGCCTTCTAGCAATGGTCTGAACTTTTAGGAGGCGTTCTCACTCCACCCGGGGTCTGTTTCTAAAATAGGCCTGAGTAAAAGCAGTTGAGCCTGTAGGCCAAAGGTAGTCGCTGCCAGCAGAAAGGCCTCATCTCGAGCATCCACTGTCAGTCATGGCGTGAGGCGGCATTTCCCAGGGATCTGTAGATCCCAGTGCCACCGTTCCAACTCAGCACACAGGAGTCAAGATGGGTCGCCCTAGGACCTTGTTACAACTTAGAGCCTGATTAAAGCAGGTCCTAGAGGACCGTGATTCTTCATCTCTACCAAGTTCCCTGCTGTGGCTGCTAGTTCATGAAGTACATATCAGCCATGCCTGGGGACCATTGAAAGGAAGCTGAGGCCCAGGGCCTTCTTCAGCTCTATTGGTTCTGGAGGAGAGACCCAGGGATTGGAAAAAATGTAAAAGCTCTCCCGAGACTCTCCTGAGTAACCAGGAGACATCAATTCAAAGCTCTTTGTGTAGAAATGGGAAAGCTAGGGCCAGAGAGATCCAACACAGGCCGGGCTAGAACAGCGTCCTTAGGGCCCAATCAGGAGAGGCAGCAGCCCTGGACCCCTAGTCTGCTGACTGAGGGGGAGGCGAAGAGACCCCATCATCAGCCGCCTTTCAGGCACATAGCTCTTGGGGAGAGAGAGGCAGGAGGAGGGGGGCTGGTGTGTTAGGAAACCAGGCAGCCTAGGGGATCCCTTGGGAGCTCTGGGGAATGTAAGGCTTGGGAGAAGAGGAATCTTTTTCTCCCGGGGTTTGGAGAAAGCTCAGGGATTGTGACATATCTATTTTTCCTAAAAAGCTACATCAGAGTTATAGGAAATAGAGACTCAAGAATGCTTGCTCAGTGGGGTGGGGTCATTCCCTCCCAGGCTTCGGCCAGAAAAATCATCTTTTTATTCTTCCTTTTATTTTTTTAAAGAAAAGAAAAATGTTTAATTCTTTTCTTTTTTTTTTCTATAATAAGAGCAATATACCTACAGCGTAAAAAAATAATTTAGAAACGATCAAGGTTGCTCCAGGGCCCACAGAACCAGGCTGCCATTGGATACAGTGCTGCAGTCTCTGGCGCCCACGCATCTGAACTGCAGTCTGACTCCTCTGTTCCCGGCTCCCAGCTTCCTGGCTCCGAGCCAGCCACTGAGGTCAGCCCTGGAGCAGATGCTGAGAATTCAGGGCCTCCTCTCCCTTCCTGGGCCTGTGGCCACACCATCACTGAGCCACGGAGGGCATAGTGTCATCCTGTATCCAGATGGACAGAGAGAAGAGTCAAGGGTACCCTACCTGTCTGGTCGTAGGATGCCCATGCAAGGTTCTCCCCACACTGGCCACGACTGGACTCTGGGCTGTGCTTGAGGATTCTTGTGCTGGCCAGGGCCTCTGAATACCTGCATAACATGTCTCCTCAGAGCAGGCCCAACCTAGGGACCCTCCACCCCAACTTAGGACCCTCCACCCCAATCCAGTGTCTGAGTTTTGATCTAGTATGACTGAGCCGCCTTCCCTGTCTGGGTTCCCAGAGGGATAGCGGAAACACCACCCCCGTGCCTGGGCCTCCGACAATCCCATTTTCAGAAGAGCACACTGACACTCAGGAGTAGAGGGAACCTGCCTGAGCTGGCAGCAGAGTGGTCCTTAAGCCTGGCTGTACCAGAACTCCAACCACATCCCTTCAACCACCCAGGATCCCTCTATGAGTGCAGAAGCAGCTCCATGAAGGGCTAGCACCCGATTGGGGCTGGAGACTCACTGCTGGGCTTCTTGGTTGAGCTTCTTGCAAAGCTTCAGTGGGGGGACACCGTGCTGAGCCCGGTACTCGTTGTGGGCCTTCAGGACCTCGTTATTGAACTGTTTGGAAGCTAGAAGGACAGAAGGATGGAGAACCCTCAGTGCAGAGGGAAGACCCTCTGAAGGTACATAGGCATGCTTCAGGACACGCAGAGACTGCCCGCCTCTTTTCCATCCTGGTCACACGGCCCTGTTCCATACCAGTGTTCATCTCTACACTCCTGTCACCCTCCCTGTCTCTGCAGATCAGAGGTCTGCTGATTATGTAGGATCTTCTGGGCCACGTTGGGGATTTGAATCTTTATCTGAGGCAATGGGAGACGACTAAGCCGAAGCAGGGAGAATGTTTCTGAAAGATGTTCTTGGTGCTGAGGAAGGTAGAGAGCTGGTCAGACATCTAAGAGACAATGTCTGAAGGTGGCGGCAAACCTCAGACTAGACCAGTAGAATCTGGGAAGGGCTGGCGTTGGGAGCTTAGGGAAGACTATCTTAGCTAGAGTGGATGGTACCATGTTGGATCAGTGAAAGCAAAAGATGAGGGGAAGGGAGAGGGAAGGAAGGAGAGAATAAGGACAGAGACAGAGAGAAAGAGAGAGAGAGGGAAGGAGGGAGGGAGAGAGAGGGAGAGAGAGAGAGAGAGAGAGAGAGAGAGAGAGAGAGAGAGAGAGAGAGAGAGAGAGAGTCAAATAAAGCCAGATAAAGAGGGAGGACCAAAGCCGGGCAGTGGTGGCACACGCCTTTAATCCCAGCACTTAGGAGGCAGAGGCAGGCGGATCTCTGGGAGTTCGAGGCCAGCCTGGTCTACAAGAGCTAGTTCTGGGACAGGCACCAAGGCTACAGAGAAACCCTGTCTCGAAAAACCAAATAAATAAATAAATAAATAAATTAAATAAATAAATAAAAGAGGGAGGACCAAATAAAGCATCATTGAGGGATGGCGGAGAGGAGAGTATAGAAAAGGACTCCATGGTGACGGGAAGGGAGGATGTGATCTGCTGTGTGACGCTTCAGTGGGGAAAGAGCCTGTGCGCAACTGAATGATAAATTCAGTAAAGACAAGACCAGAGGGCTGGGGTTAGGGACATAGGGGATGGATGAAGAGCAAGAGTGGACGAAACCCATACTGCTTCAGATCTGAAACAACCCCATCCTTCTAGTATCTTTTATCTATTCAATACTTGTCCCAAACCGTCCATCAGTCCCGCCAGCCAATCACCTTTCACCAAACGTCCATCTGCTTTGCATCCACATCCCATGTCATGCACTCGTTTTCCATTTCCAGCACTTACCCTTCCACCAAGTCATTATTGTTGAGCAACCACATCCACCCACCCAAGTCCTGACCATCAGTTCAGACCAACTCTAATCTCCACGTCTGCTCCCTGAGCACTGTCCCACGTGATGCCAAACCCAGAACTCCAAAGCTCACACAGAGAAGGAAGATGGTCTTGTGAGCAGAGAATAGTAAAGGTGCAAGAGGAGCCTGGAGCAAGGGGCCAGGATCACAGGCCTTAGGAACCTAGGAATCCACCCCTCTCTGTAGACATGGGGTACCCAGAGAACAATGAGTGAGATCAGACTGGCCCATCTGCCTGTCTTTTGGCGGTGGTAGGAAAGGCAACCACAGTCATGAAGGAAGTCCTGGGGCCAACTGCAGGCAGGAGGGAGGAAGAAATGCTGCTCGCGGTTGGTGGCCGCGCTGTCCTTGGACTTTCTGACAAACTACAGAGGAAGTAGACCGCCCTTGGGGGCTGTAGGGCCCAGCAAGATTGTGTAGGTGATCAGTTTCAGAACATATGGTGGAGCAGGGTTGGAAGGGCTCTGAACTGATTTGTGAGGTTTGGGGTAACAGATGGCGAAGTGAACAAAGGTAAACGTGGAAATAATGACTCAGCTTAACACAGAAGGTGGAGTCACAACCAGAAACCCTCACGTCCTGGTGGCCAGAGAAGGTCCACACCCTTGTGTTAGGAAAGACAGACTTCAGGTCTCCTGAGGTGGGAGGAAACGGGTGTTTAGCAGGTGGTGTTTAGTTAAGTGTCGAGTTTCCAAGGTGAAGGATCCTGGAGCTGCTTGATAGCTGTGTGATCTCATTTGACAATGGGGCATCTCAAGGAAGAGTTTCGGTTTGGCATGCTGATGTGGGACTGGGGGACATCAAAGCAGTCTTTCAAAGACCATGGGGAACAGGGAATAATGAGAACAAGAGCAGCAATTCCTGGGCACAAGTCACAGGTTTGGTCTTTTTTAGTGAGCTAGGGAACCAGCAGGATAATGTGGTAACCATGGCTCCTAGGCCATGGGTGTTCTGCCCTGCCTTGCACAAGTGGGGTCTTATGAGAGTAAGCACACACTGGGATCAGACTGGAAGACTGGGGTTGGGGGGGGGGAGAGTTCTCTGGGGAATTCTGAGGTCCTACAGGACAAAGCTGGAGCTGGCAGGCAGGAAGGACAGGATGTCAGCCAGGAATAAGAAGATCCCTTTCTCCCAGTCAGAAAGTTCCTGGAGCTTTAAGGGAACAAGCCTGAACTCTGGCAGCCCCGAAAAATGGGGGTTCACCCTGTCCTCCGTACTCTGAAATAGCCGTCCCTGTCCTCACTATTCCAAGTGGAAAGCAGAGAAAGGTGACAATGTGGCCACAGTAAGAGGAGGAACAAAAGATCCAGTGACCCCCATCTCCCCTCTCCATCTGGGGAGACCTGATGCAAGGTCTGGGTTTAAATAGCAGGCAAATTCTGAATAAGAAAGCCGTTCTCCTTAAAGTTGGCCCCACGCAGCAAGCCTTCTTTCAAGCAGTCAGCGCTCTAGGAGGTCTCCTCCTGAAAGACAAGTCCCTCCCCATGGCTGGCACTGGGGTTGCAGCCTTCTCCTTCCCCCCAGCATGAGACTCCTGGGGCCGTTCCAATTCCTTGGTTCCACTGTGCCAATAGTTTGATATCTGAAGTCTGCATCTCTCTTTAGAAATATGTGCCTTTGCTGGACTGGCATAAAGCTTTCTGGGGATTGGACAGAGCTTCCTCCCAGAGGATAGCAAGTTACCACTGGGCCATGCAAGCCAGTTTGTCTCCGTTCCTTGTAGGATCCCATCCAGTGCTGGAGAGGAAGGTGACTTAGAGGAGTTTCCCACCCTTCGGTAAACAGACGGTTAGAAAAGGGCTTGTGTGAGCTATGCGGTCACGCTGAGAAAGGCCCCTATCTGTATGATAGGCACAGCCAGGGCCATCCTAAACTAGTTCCCACGACTCAAATAGGCCAGAGAAGGTCTGCTGGGACACCGTGAGGGACACTTGAGACTTGGTGACATGCGCAGTGTCACAAGAACTCCCTGGAAACGGTGTTCCCGGTTCAGGAGGAGGAGGAGGCCAAAGGTGCAGAAAGGGCCAGGTTATGACAGGGCGCCAGTTTAAAGCAGCTTGCAGGTTGGGGTCAGTCTGCACTGGACCCCATATCACTTAAGGCCCTGCAGGCTTTCTGTCAGAAACATGTGTGACTTCTAAAAACTAGGTCACTGTAGTCCCAGAATGGAGGAAGTTCCAGGGGACAAAAGTGAAAGTTCCTGAACAACACAAGATCAGTGCCAGAAGCTGACGCCAGGCACAGGCCCCAGCAGGGTCAGGCTCCCTCAGCCGGGACTTTTGCAAGGGGTCACCAGGTCTCAACAGAGACCCATAGCTTCTTATAGCTGGAAGCCAGGGGGCCCTCCAGCCACTTAGGGCTATCTTAGGCGTCCCCTCCCACTCGGAGCAGGAGGAGAGCCCTAGGAGGCAAGTTATCAATGGTGACCACACCCAGGCCGAGGCTTGCCCTACTGCTATAGAAAAACCCCAACACAGATAAAGTCAGAGTAAAACCAGCCACCCACAGCCAGGCAGGGTGGGTCCTCAGCTGTCCTAGGGTGGGGGGAAGGGCAGGGATCCACACTTTATTTTGCAGAAGAGCCAGAAGGAGGGACAGGCAGACTTATCTGCCCTGGGCTCTTGCTTTCTCTTGCTCATCTCCCACAGGGCCTTGAAGACCTCGTTAACCTCTCGCTGCCTCTTGGGGTGTCCTGACACATTTATGACTAAACTAGAAAAAAATGCTCTTTGCAAGGGCAGCAGCCTGCCCAGATTCCCTTCCTGCTCAGGGGTACCATCAGGAGGGCTCTAGACTTGAAGGAAGGCCCTGCTCTGAAGCTCTGCCCAGTAACCCATGGTCACCGTGGAGCAGTGGGAGGTGCCCCTCAAGCTTTGGGGACAGCTGAAGGGAGCAGTAGGGGAAAGGAGCCCCAAGGGCAGCTTCCTCCGATCTCTCGCATTTCTCAAGAGCCTCCTGGGAGAGAGGGCTGCAGGGAGACTGCAGAGGCTAGAGCAGGGGTGACAGCCAGGCAGCTGTCTGCGGGAATGCAAGGCTGCACACTCTAGGTGGGGCTACTCTGCTTCCTTTTCGGGGACTGGAGAGAGTGGGGGGGGGATTCTGAGAGCTGTCCTTAGCCCCCGCCACACCCCTGCTTTGGGCAGACAGGCTCATTCCTCAGCTTCCCCCTCCCTGACCACTGCCCTCTCCAGCCTCCCCACAAAGGGTGAGAACAGGCCCCTCCATACGCTTGACAAGAGGTTGGAAAGCAAATTGCTCCAGCCTTTGGGGCAAAACTGGTTTTGCATCTTTAGGAAGAGTAGGAAGCAGATAATTGGAGAGAAAACAATTTTACAGTTTTTTCTTTTTTCTTTTTCAAGACATGGTTTCTCTGTGTAGTCCTTGCTGTCCTAGAACTCACTCTGTAGACCAGGTTGGCCTCGAACTCACAGAGATTTGCCTGCTTCTGCCTCTCAAGGGCTGGGATTATAGGTGGGCACCACCACTGCTCAGCTGGGAAACAATTTTGAAAGTTCCTCCAAGCATGGAAATTTGCTGAGTGAGTGAATGAGCAAAGGAATAAGGTTCAGAGACAATACGAGGACTAGATCTCGGCTGTATCAGACGAGAAATCGGTGTCTGGGGCAGTGTACAAATGGTCTCAGGTCACTCAGACCCAGGAGGCCCTGGTTAAAGCCAGACCTAACAGCATCCCTCCTTTGCCCCTCTCCCACC